TTGGGAGACCCTCCCCCCAAAAAACCAACAAAAAACCAAAATAAACAAACAAAACCCCATCTTCCCTTGTTATCAAGTTCTATATCCTCTACACTTTTTCTGTCAACTGCTGTGACACTGTTGAAGTTTGGGAAAAAAATAAAAACCACTGGCAAGTTTAGGTCTTGTTTAATTATATAATAAGAAAATAGAGCTGTAACTTCAGAACTTACTATTCAATTACCTGATATAGAAAAAGGTAGGTAAACAATGTAGCATGTTTGTTGGAAGCACTCCTATACTTAAAATATTTTAAGTATATTACTAAAAAAAGATCAACGAAGCATTCAGTGAAATCATTAGATACCCATGTGTTCAAGCTAGAGCAGCCTGTACCCTTATAACCTGATAACACAATGCAGTGCTTACTGTATGCCAGAAAAGATGAAGTATTAAAGATAATTTTAAAAGAGTGAAACTTCAAGCCATTCATTTCTCTGTGTAGAGCAAAAGAGGGTTTGACAGTAGTAAAATATGGTGCCTTGTTCCCTTGAATTCTGCAATGTGCTACAAATTCCCATTGACAAGATAAATGGCAATTTTATGCTTTACAACTTGGAGAAATTCAACAGAATTGTGTGACCCAACCCATCTGTCTTCATTAGACTGCCCAAAGATTGATTGGCTCATGCATTTTGGCCCAAATGGAATGGTAGAGTTGATCTCATTTATCACACATTCAAACACTCAAATGTTTTGGTGTGTGCTCAGATCATTCCTTTTTAGAAAAAGTAGATTTTGTGTGTGGTGTCAGTACTGAACCAGGGACTCACATGTTAAGTGTAAGTTCTCTAAGTACACCCTCAGTCCTTACTATTGAGTTTTTAAAAATTATTTTAGGGCTGGAGGGATAGTACAGAAAGTAGAGAACTTGCCTTGCACGTGGCTGACTTGGGTTTGGTCTCTTGTACCTCATATGGCCCCCAAGCACTGCCCTGAGTGATCCCTGAGCACAGAGCCAGAAGTAAGCCCTAAACGTCCCTGGGTATGGTCCCCCAAACCAGAAGTAAATAAATAAAGAAAAATTAAAATTAGTTTCCACATAGGTTCTTCTATCCTGCAATTCTATCATTCAAATTTGAGGCGGGGGGGATACAATTATTCTTAAACCAGCAGAAAATCAAGACATTTGCTGTATCTAATCCAGTCCTGCAGTGAATGCTAAAAGATCTCCCATGAAAAACCAAACAAATAAAGCAATAATAACCAGACTCACCACAGAAAAATGATGAACCACTCATTTGTATCAATATTTTGCCTGAATGTCCATCAAAAGGCATAGAGTGGCTGGATGGTTCAGGAATCAAAATCCATCTATTGCTGCTTACATGAAACTCAGATTCACAGAATAAATATAGGCTCAGAGTGAAATAGGGGAAGAAAATTTTATAATCCAGTGGTTGACCAAAAAAAGCTTTGATAGCCTTGCCTATATCAGATGGTTGATATATTATTTTAGGTTGATATATCATTCAACCTAGAAGATACTGCTTACTGGTTAAGGGAACCACAGACCAAGAAGTACTAAATTCTATCAACATCACTGTCCACTGTCCTCTTGTTGTTCATCGATTTGCTTGAGCGAGCCCAGTAACATCTCCATCATGAGACTTGTTGTTACTGTGTTTGGCATATCGAATATGTCACGGGTAGCTTGCCAGGCTTTGCCATGCGGGCGAGATACTCTTGATAGTTTGCCAGGCTCTCCAAGAGGGGTGGAGGAATCGAACTTGTGTCGGCCATGTTGGCTGCATGCAAGGCAAATGCCCTACCAAATGTAGGAGCAAAGGAGTTTATAAAACCCCCGCTTACAGATCTAAAGAAATACATTGATAGAAACACAATAATGTGGGAGACTTTAGCAGTTCACTTTTGTATTAAACAAATCAACTAGACAGAATAAGGCAATAATCATAAATGAGGAACTAGAAGAACTAGGATTAATGGACAGGACACTCCACCCTCAAAACACCAGAGGGTGTTCTCTAGTACACGTGAAACATTTGCACATGGAACATTTCCCAGGATAGATCACATATTAGGACATAACTCAAACATACATAAATTTATGAATATCAAAATCATACCAAGCAGCTAGTCTGTTCATAATTCCATGAAGGTAAAAATTAAACATTTTTTTAAAAGATGGTGGAAAAAAACTTGAACACCTGGAAGTTGAACAAAATGCTGCTGAATAAAAAACAACAAGACCAAAGAGGAAATCAAAGAAGCAAAAAAGATTCCTTGAAACTTAAGAGAATGAAGAAACAAACTACTGTAATATATGGACGCAGTAAGAGCTGTACCCAGGGGAAAATGCATAGCAACACAGGCTTACATTAGGAAAGGACACTGCACTGCGCTGTCCTCCCATTGTTCATCTATTTGTTCGAGTGGGCCCAGTAACGTCTCCATTGTGAGACTTATTACTGTGTTTGGCATATCGAACACATGGGGAGCTTCCCAGGCTTTACTGTGCAGGCGAGATACTCTCGGTAGCTTCCCAGGCTCTCCAAGAGGGGCAGAGGAATTGAACTCAGGTCAGCCAAGTTGGCCACGTGCAAGGCAAACACACTACCGCTGTGCTATAGCTCCAGCCCTTAGGAAAGGACAAACGACTCAAATCAGTAGCTTAAACACATGTCTTATATATCTATAAAGGAACAAGTGAATTTCAAAAGTAGAAGGAAGAAAATAATAAAAACTAGAGAAGATAAAGCGTCTTGGTTTCTGTGGTATAGAAATTAGAAAAAGTCAATGAAACAAGAAACAAGAATCTAGTCCTATGAAACAATGAAAAAGGTAGACAAACTTATCTAGACTTTTAAGGAATAAAGCGGAAGATATCCAAATAAACAGGATGAGATGAAAGGGGAGAAATTACAACAGACTCCTCAGAAATTCAGGATATGATGAGAAGTTACTGTGAACAACTTTATAGTGTTAAGCTGGAAAAATGGACACACTCTTTGAATCATGTAATCTCCCGAAACCAAGCGAGGAAGAAGTAGAAAACCTTAATTGGCCATTCACAAGCAGGGAAATTGAAACAGTAATCAAGAATCTTCTCAAGAACTAAAGCCCTTGGGCTGGAGAGATAGCACAGTGGGTAGGGTGTTTGCCTTGCATGCGGCCGACCCGGGTTCAATTCCCAGCATCCCATATGGTCCCCTGAGCACCGCCAGGAGTAACTCCTGAGTGCAGAGCCAGGAGGAGTAACCCCTGTGCATTGCCAGGTGTGACCCAAAAAGCAAAAAAAAAAAAAAAAAAGAAAGAAAAAAAAAAGAACTAAAGCCCTGGTCCAGATGGTTTCACTGGTGAGTTCTATTAAATCTTCAAAGAAGACTTTCTATCTTTATTTTTTAAGCTCTTCCAAAATATTGTAGAAACAGGAATCCTTCCTAAGACAGACAAATTTGATAGGAATTTAAAATTGTCACTTATGGGAGACATCCAGAACAGGATGACAAAAATATCACATATCCAAAAAATAAAAATGAAAAACAGAAACCAAAAACAATCTGTGTTGGCTGGGATGTGGTGAAAAGGAAATGCCATTCACTGCTGGTGGAAGTGTTGTCTGATTCGACCCCTGTGGAAAACCAGGATGGAGATTTCTCAAAAAAGTAAGACTGGAGCTACAGTATGACCCAGCAATTTCAATTCTTGGTATCTACTCCCAAGACACCAACACACAAACACACAAAAACATCTCTACAAAAGTATATATGCACACCACTTTTCATTACAACATCTAGCCCAATAGCTAGGATACAGAATAAAAAGTACCAGTATCCAACGATAAATGAATGAATTATGAACATGTGGTATATATACAAAATGGAATATTGTACATCTGAAAGGAGTAATGAAATCATGCATTTCACTAAACTTGAATGGAACTGGAGAATATCTTGTTAAGTGAATCAGAAGGACAAATACTGGATGATCTCATTTGTCTGTGGTATCACTGTCACTGTCACTGACCTCCCGTTGTTCATCGATTTTCTCGAGTGGGCCCAGTAATGTCTCCATTGTGAGACTTTGTTGTTACTGTGTTTGGCATATCGAATACAACACGGGGAGTTTGCCAGGCTTTGCCGTGCGGGCGAGATACTCTCAGAGCTTGCTGGGCTCTCCCAGAGGGGCGGAGGAATCGAACTCGGGTTGGCCATGTTGGCTGCGTGCAAGGCAAACACCCTACCCACTGTGTTATCGTTCCAGCCTCATCTGTGGTATATAACAGGTATATAACAGGACAAGTGAATGCAGGGTATCAACAGGACATGTAGGTAACCCTGGGCACTAGATGATATGGGGATAAGACAGGAAGAGATTGAAGGTGAAAGTAAGAAGAGGGTGGCAGTTAGGGCCGAGTCCTAGGACACATCAGTTGAGTAGAGTTGTAATATATGTATATATCTGAACCATATAGATAACAGCCCTGCAGCCAGACTTCAATAAGAAAACTTAAAAATGTGTTTGTCAAGGGAGACAGATAAAGGGATAGAAGGAAGACTGGGGACATTGGTGAAAGGGAGTTGATCCTGGTGATGAGATTCATGTTGAAACATTGTATGCCTGAAACTCTATTATGAACGACTTTGTAAATCACGATGCCTTGAATTTTTAAAAAATAAACATTTAAAAAATTAAATAAAAATTGTCATTGTTGTTTTGGGTCCACAACTGATGATGCTCAGGGGTTATTACTGACTGCACTCAGGGATCACTTCCTGGTGGTGGAGAATCATATGGGATGCTGGGGATTGAACCTTGTTTCAAGTACCTTACCCACTGTGCTGTCTTTCTAGCCCCAATAAAAATGTCTACCTACAATCATGAGACCATTAGGTTCTTTGCAGTAAGTTTCACCTTAGTTCTGCTTGGTTGATGCTTGATACTCAACCCCAAGCTTCCTGAAATCAGTCACTGATCAGTTCTCCTGGCTTCTTCTGCAGGGTTATCAATGCTGGGAAGAGTACACACAATGAAGACCAAGCCAGCTGTGAGGTGCTCACTGTGAAGAAGAAGGCAGGGGCCATCACCTCAACCCCGAACAGAAACTCTTCTAAGAGACGGTCTTCCCTTCCCAACGGAGAGGGCCTGCAACTAAAGGAGAACTCGGTAAGCCCCTGTGTCCCCCTTGGTTCTCAAGGTGAGGAGACATAGAACACTCCACTCCTAGGCCCATTGTGGAGGAGAGAAGAGCAGTGTCCCTATAGTGGGTCGGCTGCAGGTCTATACTCATAGTGTCACCACCCATAGTCAAAGGTGGCATATGTGGAAGAGCTAGTTTTCTTAACACTTAAAAATTCCTACAAGACAGATAGGCTTGGTTGCAATAATGAATATATATATATAATATTGGTGGATTTATTAAATATTACTGTTTAGGTTGGGGGCTATACCCAGCAGTGCTCAGAGGCTACTCCTGACTCAATGTTTAGGCTCTCTCCTGGTGATACTTGGGGATCACATGACAGCAGGGATAAAACTGGATTTCTCACATGTGAAGTATTTGCTCCAGCCTTTTGAGCCATCTTCCTGGTCCAGTTTGGTGCTTTTCAAAAAAGCCCCTTGAGGGTTTTTTCTTTCTTTTTTTTGGAGGACAGAGGGTCACACCCAGAGATGCACAGGGGTTACTCCTGGCTCATGCACTCAGGAGTTACTCCTGGCAGTCCTTGGGGGACCATATGGGATGCTGGGAATCGAACCTGGGTCAGCCCTGTGCAAGGCAAATGCCTTACATGCTGTTCGTATCGCTCCAGTCCCCTTGAGGGTTTTTATGAGGGTGATAGTTTCTGAAACTCATGAGAAGTGGAACTAACTCTGGGCCTTGGCTTATAGTCTTGCCATGTATGACTTTGCCCCTTTTTTCTGGTGTTGTTTATTATAATTGTCCCATTGGAGCCCAAGTGTAACACTAGCAAGCTTCCAAATTCATATTTGTTTCCATTGGCCTGCAGGCCTTGGCATCCCATGGGTGGCTCTATAAACCAGATGCCATATAACAAAACACAAAGCATTACTCTTCATTCCAGTCACTGGAGGGGAAAAAAGTGATATCCTCAGAAAGTCCTGAAGAAACACTCAGAAAGGGGCAGGAAATAATTGACACGGATTGTTTGATTCAATAGAAATGAGACGCTAAAATGGGATTATCTAAATGTGACTATTGATGAGGGTTGGGGAGGCAGTGTTTGGGCCACAGTCAATTTGATGAGGGCTATGCCTAAATCTGTACTCAGGGCGCATTCCTGGTGATGCTCAGGGGACCACACATGGTACTGGGGAAGAACCAAGACCAGCTACTTTCGAGATCAGGGCCTTCTATACTATGTCATGAACTTGTGACTATTTATTCTTGAGCCTAACTCTGTATGTGGTTTTTATAGAATTATGAAGGATCCAGAAATTTCCTCACATTCTAGCATAAAATGTTTTATTTATTTGTCCCAAGGATTAGGAGTCGCTTACTTCTTAATCTCTGTCCAATTTTAAGTTAGAAAATACTTTTACTTGGGCCAGAGAAGTAGCTCAAAGGACTAGAGCATATGCTTTGCAGATGTAGGCCCCCCTCGTTGGATCCTCAGATAGCATGCTCAGCCTCCAGCGTCATGGTCACCTGGGCCCAAGAGGCACTGCACTAAGGGACCTGCAAGTTTAGCTGTAAATGGTCCTTGGATCTCTTATCATTGCTGGAGATGCCCCAGCAAAATGAAAAGAAAAATGCTCACCAATAGTTTTCAAGGCTGAAAGGAGTATTAAAAAGGGCTCTCTCGGGGCTGGAGAGATAGCACAGCGGGTAGGGTGTCTGCCTTGCACGCAGCCGAACCGGGTTCGATTCCCAGCATCCCATATGGTCCCCCGAGCACCACCAGGAGTAATTCCTGAGTGCAGAGCCAGGAGTAACCCCTGTGCATCGCCGGATGTGACCCAAAAAGCAAAAAAAAAAAAAAAAGGGGGGCTCTCTCAAGGAGCCATCTGGCATGTAGGCTAAATAGAATGCTGGTTGAGTAAATGTACTATAATAAAAGGGGAATTCTGATATCATCCTTGACTCCAGTGTTTAGAGAGGAGAAAGTTAGAGAAGTAAAGAAATCCAGTGCGGAAGAAGGGAATAGGAAGTAATGAATGAACGTGCCTCAGAGCTTCAGTTAACTGGTAATTTGAGTGAGAGGTATAGCCAAATATACAAAACACAGACGCAACAAAATTGAAAGCATGAGATCTAAGCAAAATCACTGAAACTTTGTAGGTCAAGTTGACAGGTCAGGATAGGGTGGGGTTTGGGGTGGGGAAGGAATATATGGGAACACTTGGTGAAGGGAAGTTGACACTGGTTGTGGTTTGGTACTGAAATACTATATACCTAAAACTCAACTATCAATAACTTTGTAATTTATAGTTATTTAATTAAAAAATGATTAAAAGAAAAATGGTCAGTAAATTTAAAAAGTGAGTAAATGTACATGCTTGGAAATAAGATTACTCTGAGTGGCCATTAGTAAATGATTTAGTTTGAGGTTATTCTTTGAACCTTGGTTTTGTTCGTATCTGCAGGGATAAATAATAATAGTTATGACCAAATGTTTGTAAGAATAATAATAGTACTTAATGACTATATATTTTTTTAAAAGGCTGAAAGTATGAGATCTAATAGTCCACGGAAAATACCAATTCACTACCTTAATTAGTAACTATTCGATGTCACCAAGATACCTATCAAGATATTACTGTCTTAAAGTTAGTCCTTTCGCCATTGTCTGTGCAGAGCACCAACTGAATGTTCTAAGTTTATTCACCTATAAATTGGGAATCACCCAATTTCTGGCTCATCCACTTGACAGGATGCTGTGGAGACCGAGTTTCTACAGACAAGGCCTCAGAGTATGAGACAGTAGCAGTCCTTGTCTGTGGAGGTCAGTGACTGACTGGTGGCCTTTTCCCAGAAACATCTCCCTACCCTGAGATACAAGGTGATTTCTTTGAAAAGACGTCAGTGCTGACATTTGGCCCAAGGCCACTGACTCTGGCATTTTTCCTTGTTGCTTAGTTGGTCATGGCTGGGAGACTGACTCTGAGAACAGCGCATGAGCACTTCAGCTAGGTCATCCTCCCTGGCACCTCTCAGGCCTCCTCAGCGCCTTGATCCAGAAACAGCGGAGGTCTGAGCAGTTGCATCCTGGCTGTTCATTTCTGCTTTAGTCTCAGCGAATTCACCTCTTCCTGTCGGGGAGGAGGTCTCCCAGTGAGTCTTATCCAGGTTTCAGGGCCATGGGCCCATGCAGTGTGCAGGTGCCACCAGGGCGACAGTAGGGGCCAAGTCATGCCAAGGATCCAATTAAGGTTGAGTGCATGGAAGGGTTGTGCCTTAAGCCCCCCATACTGTCTCTCTCCAGCAGCAGCTTCACTTTTTATTTTAATTTTTTTGTATCTGAGCCACAGCTAGCTATGCTCAGGGCTTAGTTAGGACTCTATACTCAGAGATCACCCCTGGTGGACTCAGAGATCAACTCCTGGTGCCAAAGATCAAACCTGAGTCGAATTCACCCTTCCCCATTATATTATCTCTCCCATCCCCACAGTTTTACTTCTTAAACAAACACACAAACAAAAAATTTAAATCCCAGGGCTCTGGTTGCAGGGAGTCGAGTTTGATTCCCAGTACCGCTTGCCCTTTTCCTCACACACTGCCAGGGCTGCCCCATAACCCGACATCCCTGGACCCGAGCAGCATTGTATCACCAGCCTGAGCACTCAACTGTCCTATCCAGTTGGCCAGATACCATTAGGAATGTCTTTGAGGCCTGACACCTCCCCCGCCGAATCCCACTACCCTTTCTCCTACCCCTCAGTTTCTTTCCCTCAGGTGACCATAATGTCAGTGTCCACTGGTTTACTTATCATTCCTTCCTAGCTTTCTCTGTTTCATCCTTCCCTCCCTCCTTCCTTCCTTCTCTCTAGCCCTCACTTCCTCTTTTCCTCTCTCTCTCTCTCTCCCTCCATCATTTTTCTGTCCCTCCTCTCTCTGTTCCTTTCCCTGACCTCATACTTTCAGTCATATCCCTGTCTCCTAAAGTGTTATTTTTTTTCCTTTAGGAGGCCTCAGCAGAAGTACTGCAGGCACCAGGGTTAAACACCATGATGTGGGACTAGAGTGATAGCACAGCAGGTAGGGCATTTGCCTTGCACACATCTGATCCGGGTTAGATTGCCAGCATCCTATATGGTCCCCCAAGCACCACCAGGAGTAATTCCTGAGTGCACGAGCCAGGAGTAACCCCTGTCATCTCCAGGTGTGACCCAAAAAGCAAAAAAAAAAAAAAAAAAAAACCACCATGGTGTAGGGAGGCCATGTAGTACCAGGTAGTCAGCACAGGATCTCATGCTTGCCAGGAATATGCTCCAGCCCTTGGAGGTATCTCCCCTGTCCACTAGTTATTTTGTCCATTCATCAATTTAATATGCTATGTCACAGTCACTTCATTTCTATCAGCCTTCCTATTTGGGTGGTAAGGCAAGAGCTATGAATTTTTTTTAAAGCTATTAGACCATTACCTAAAATATACTTTGATTCTTTTTGTGCATTCGGTTCATTGGCGTTAAATGCACCCATATTATTGAGCAGCCGCAACGTCTAACCCCAGAAGGTAGGCAGTGAAGGGAGCCCTGAGCAGGCTGAGAAGAGATGCAAGCAGACAGCCATGGCAAAGGGCTGGCAGTGAGGGATGATTCCAAGTTTGGTCCTTGAAAGTGAACCATTAGAGCCAGGACAGATTTAAAGGCAAGGGGGTGGACAGAGACAGTGATTTGAGTTTTGAGTATTCTAACTTTCCTACTAGCTTTGGTAGGAAGTTAGAGTGAAGGCACTTCTCTACCTTAAGCAGGGAAGGTACTACTAAGTAAGAAGCACCTTCCCTACTCAGATGAAGGGCTCAGGAGGTTTGGATTTCAGGAGTTGCAAGTCATAGGTGTGTCTTAAAACACAGGTAAGAATGAAAAAAAAATAAGAAATGAGGGTCAGACAGCTTAAAAAAGAAGATGGGGTGAAAATGAGCTCAGGCTTTATTTTAAGCAAGAAACAGTGCCCTTGGCTAGGAAACGGGCCAGGAGGATATGGG